CACTGGTGTGACCTGGAGTGTCAGCAAACAGGGAAGGGATATTTTTGATAAGACAGCACACAGTGTTCTGGGCAGCATCATCTAAATGTTTTAGGTGGGATTTTAAAATGTCTAATATTTCAAAGTTTCTCAGTTGGGAGCAACCCTCAGCACAAACAAAACCTATGTGGGTGGTAAAGTAAATCCGCTTGGTATCTTTGTTAGCGTTCAGACATCAAATCTGATGGCAAAAAAACCCAAACAGGACTGGGAAAAAAAGAAAAAGAAGATATGATCAGATTGATTTCTTCATTTGATGCACGATTTTGTCCTTTTAGCTGCAGTTCAGCTCACTGAGAAGAGCAGGTGATACTAAACCATATGGCTGAAAGAGGACGGACCAGATTGAATCCAACCCCTGCATGTCTTTATCCCTCTGGTTTCTTGTCACTCGTCTTTGCACCTGACATGTTTTTGTTGTCCTTTTTTTTTTTTACTTTTAACTTTTTTCCCCAACAAAGACAAGACTGGTTCACATCCAAAACAGTAACACTGCACAGCACTAGAATATTTCACATTCTCCAGAGTCCATAGCAAACTTGTGATAATTTATGTCCATAATTGTTGTCCGTTAGAATCCAGTTTGCAGGTTACTCCCAGTGCTTCCAGTGGTTTCTTTGGGTAACTGTAGTGTCTCCAATTTAATTTTGGGTTTTCTTCCTGCCCAAATGAAATCCACCATAGCCTTGTTAATTACTTTAATATCTTCTGATTTCAAAATTGCAAACCAAAAGGATTACCATCTTAATGAGATTCATTCTTCCCAAAAATGATATCGGAAGTGACCTCCATCTTGTCAGCATCTCTCGAAGATCTTGAACCATTTCATTAATATTTTCTCTATGTAAGTGACCAACATTTGGTGTAACTTTAACTCCCAACTATACAAAACCTGATGGTGCCCAGTGTAAAGGTTTAACATATAAAGGTTTAAAGTCCCCTCCACTACACAGAGTTATTGTAACAGATTCATCAAATTTACCTTGTATCCAGATATAAGACCAAAGTCCTTGATACACCTAATAAGAACAGGTAGAGAGTTAGCAGGGTCAGTCAGTGTCAGAAGGATACCGTCTGCATAGAGCAGAATATTTTGTTGTCTAATTTTAACTCCAGGAACACTTGGATTTTGTCTAATGGCCAAAGCAAATAATAGTGGTGACAATGGGCTACCTTGTGCTGTACCTCTGCTCAATGAAAATGGGGAAGATAACAAGCCGTTAGTTAACACAGATGCTGTTGGCGATTTGTATATAATTTTGATCCACCCCAGAAAGTTTTTCCAAACCCAAATCTTCTCATTATTTCAAACATATATTCCCATTCAATTCTATCGAATGCCTTTTCGGCATCCATAGAGACAACAACCCTGGAGATCTGATGAAAATTAAAAAAATGAATAATATTAAATAGGCATCGAGTATTGTTATAAGAATTCCTCCCCTTACTAAAGCCTGTCTGGTCAGCATGCACGATAGAGCACATTACTTTTTCTAGCCTAAGAGCCAGTATCTTTGAAAGTATCTTATTATCAACACCAAGAAGGCCTTCGCATTATCAAATTACACAAAGATGTCCTGCTGAGCTCACTTAATGTTTCAGCTGATTTGTTACATAGTATTGTTTCTCCAGCTTTTTTAAATCATTCTCGGTCTCTAACTGCCTTGTTAATCGTTGACTTCTTTTATGACTTGTGTATGAAGTAATCATCCCTCTCATGTAAGCCTTATAGCTATCCCATAAAGTTCTCATGTCTTTATCATTTATTTCTAAGAATACTGTTGTTTGCTCTGTTATGAAATGTATAAATTTCTCATCCAAAAGAGACAGTGTGCTCATCTTCCAAGACCTGAAGCTGTCACGGTCCTGGGTCTCCTGACCCAGCGTTTTTAGTTCTTTGTGATGTTTGTGTTATTGTACTTGTGAGTTATTCTATGGCTTCTAGTTTTGATCCCGGCCCTTCATGTTCTCTGTGTCCCCTCTGTTCTGTGTAATGTGTGTCTTTGCATGTTTGAGTTTGTTTTCTGTCACTCTGCATTGTGCATTATGTTCTCATGGTTGGTCTTTTGTTACTCCCTCTAGTCTAGTCTCTTGTGTTCCCAGCTGAGTATTTCCCTGTGTATTTTGGTTCTTAGACCTCTGCCTTATGGTTTATGTCTCTGTGTTTCTTAGTTGCTGTCTCACTCTGTCAAGTTCGCGTCTCTGTGTGATACTTCCTGTTTTACTTTGAAGGTCCGTGTCTTATGTGAATGTGTCCTGCTTTGCTTGCCTCGTCAGTCCTGATTTCTCCCAGCTGTGCCTCCTTCTGTGTCTCATTCCCCCCATTACTCCCCAGTGTATTTAAACCCTGTGTTTCTCTGAGTCAGTGTCGCGTTGTCCCTCAAGCTGTGTGGATCTCCCTGTGTCTCTCTGTGAGTGCTTAGTTTGTTGTTCCCAGTTTAGATTAGTTTAGTTTATGTTTTCCCCCTGCCAGCAAATAAAGCTGTGTTTTGAGTTCATCCCCTGAGTCTGTGAGTCCTGCATTTTGGGTCCAACTCCTGCCTGCCGCACAGCGGAGCATGGTCAGAGAGACCTATATGACCAATATTTACCTGCTGAACTAACTGACTGATACACTTGGACATAAAAATCTATACGAGATGCTGAGTGAGGGTTAGAGTGGAAAGTGTACTCTTTAGATAGTGGATTATAGTGTTGCCAGACATCCACATGTCAAGCTCATTTATAATTTGCCAAAGGGCTTTGGAATTTTGTCAAAGTAGATTGTGGGGGAAGCTTATTCATTTTGGGGCATAAAACACTGTTGAAGTCACCCGCTAATATTATATTAGCACAGTCCATGTCCACTAACTGACTAAATAATACCCTGTAAAACTTGCCATCCTGTGCATTCGGTGCATATATATTATTATATTATATATTGCCCCATCCACTATCCCTTTTAACCAATATATATCTTCCTTCATTGTCCTTGAAGGAAGGACAGTGACTCTGAGATTTTTGTGTATAACAGTAATAACCCCCCTTTTATCTGTAGAGTAGGATGAATGAAGATTTGGCCAACCCATTCTCTACAGTATTTTTTATGTTCCTCATCTGTCAGATGGGTTTCTTGCAAAAAATCAGCGTGAATCAAATCTTTCTTCAGAGAATTTAGGACTTTTTTTCACCACATTGTTGGACCCGTTAACATTCCAAGTACTTAACTGACATATAAGAAGAGTAATATATATATTGTGCTGTTTACATATTTAACCAAATCTACATTTGACCAGTCTGAACCTATTAACAAAAATATAACTCTATACCTTTCCTTTTTTTTTCTCGTTTCGCTCTCAGCGAAGGCGGTCGCACTTTTTCCTCTCCTCCCTCCCTTATCTTCCCTGCTTAGCTTCTTATGTCCTTGTCTTGTCTCTTGCTTTTTTCACTTCCCCTGGAACACTTTGTAATACAATTTCAGCAGGTGCTCTTTTAATTGGAAGAATTTGTCTTGTAGAAACTTTCCTCATTTTGAAATGAACTGCACGAACCCATCTGTGCTCTGAGCTGCAGCAGGCAGAGACTTTTTCTTTGATCATTTATTTCGAGCATATGCGTACATACATACAAGATAAAGCATATATACAGGAGGCCCGTTTGATTTCTGAGGGCTGAAATGATGTCCGTCCATGTTATTAAGGCAAAATTATATCTGTCAGACAGATAGCAAAAAAGTTAGCTCTGATGCATCCGTCAGAGTATGATGGTGTGTAATGTGTAGTTGTCTAAAGCACTTTGTGACTGTAGAAAATCATTATATAAGGATCTGGATGTGGCAGGATGAGCTAATCTAATGTTAACCAGAATTTCATTGTTTCGCCCCCCCCCCCTAATATTCTAAAGTTCTGTGCCGCAGTCTAACTGGATAGAGCATTACATGAATCATGACCAAAAGAAAAATTCAAAAGCAACCCAAGAGTTCTACAGGCAACAAAACTGGATATTTTTCACCTGATCTAAATCTATTAGTTCACTTACTTCACTTAGTGCAACACAACATGAAGCGATGGCACAGGTTTCTAGACTTCAGAGAGTCAGTGACTGCAAAAGAAAATGTTGCTGTGATTATCAGAAGCAATCCTTATTTTAAAATTCTTGTAGTTTGTCAAATGTCTTTTGAGTCTCTGAAAAGGACTGTACGAAACGTTTGCTTCACAAAACCCAGACGTGCTGCCAACAGAAACTGTGCTGTGTGAGATTTCTAGTTTTTCCGGTCTGAAAACATCCACGGAAAATGATTTACTTGGCAGAAAAGCGAAACCGTCAACACCATCAATCACCTCTGACATCCATCATCATGACCTGTACATTTGTTTTGCAGGAATTTGATGTGCTAATCTGAACCAGCAGTACATTGTCTTCTGACTGTTTTTGGTTTTCTGCTTTAAATAAACAGCTACAAAATAGCTAGAAGGATTCTGCTGATGGTTTCTTCCTGTTAAAAATCGGTGGGCTCACCAAGTGATTCTTCATCGGCAATTGTCTGACTGGTCTTTGCTTTTTTCTCATAGTTCGTGGTCTGTTGCTTGCAATAATTTGTTTTTTGCATTACCAGTTGTTGTGAAATGTCACTATATGAATATAACCGACATTTATTTTTTTGCACTTTTGTGTCATTGTGATTATAATTGCAGTTACCAAAGCAAACAATCTAAATACACAACAATAAACATATTTAAATGCATCTGTTCTTTATGTAATCCACTTTTCTCAGGACCATAAACTGCACATCACACACATATGATATTCAGTAATTTGTGATTGAATTTTGTTAGGTTCTTAGATGTGGTGACTAGTTTTTCATAAAGTGACAACAGACCTGTTTTTTTACACGCAGAGAGAAAATAACCAACCAATGAACATGATTCAAATCAGTCACATGAGGGCGGGTGAGGCATTTACATTCCAACATAAATGCTATTAGACCGGACTCATATGATAGAGCAAGCGAACAATGGCAGGTAAGTGATGTCAAAATCTTTGATGAGACTCTTTCTTAGATTATATATTTCTCCTTTGACTATTCCACGTCTTCTTCATTCTTTGGCACTTAAAAGACCAAAATGTGAATTATATGTATCATCATGTTTCTTTTATGCTTCCTATCGAGGAGGAGTTTGCCAGGTTAAGGGCAGAGTTTGTGTCAACTGTGTCACAAAAAAATCTTAATCCTTGAAGCACTTGTCACTGATGGTATTTTGAATGGTTTAGAGAAATAATCCATAGTAGAAGATAATCAATCCAGAGCAGATAGGGTACGCTGTTTCACTGACACAGCAAGAAAAACAAACCCAAAAAGGGACAAAGCCTGCAGGATAATGTTTACACATCTTCAGAAACTAATGCAAAAAAAAAAAAAAAAAAAAAAAAAAAAAAACAAAAAAACAACAACAAAACTAGATGCAAATGTACTCTTCGCTGCATGTGTCCACTTTTCCATCTGTGCAGAAAACTGAGGATTTCTGTAAAATTCGTTTTCTTGAGCTGTTATTGTAATGCATTTTTCATGTTTTCTCTCAACACACCACACACACACACACACACACACACACACACACACACACACACACACACACACACACACACACAGTTGATGTACTGCAGCAAAATGTCTACTGAGAAATCAGCTGATGGTGTTTTTTAATTGTAGCTCTATTGTCCCAAAAGGAGCAGGAATGCTCGACCAGCACACAGCATTACAGCACAGATGGTGGGAGACGTGGTAATAATGTATGTGTCTTCGACTGGCCTGAGTAATCAGCATTATACTGTATATTTAAACGTTTGATCTCTAATACACATTAAAATGATTTGTTGTTTTTAAAAGTAATGTTAGAACCTAATCAATTCCTGTAAATCATCTTGTCTTTTAGAAATATCCAGTGACTGAAGAGTCCATTTCAAAGCGTGTAGCCCTGCTGATCACTAACAAAACTTTCGATGGGTATTCAACCAGACATGGAGCTGAGAAAGATGAATATGAAATGCACTGCATGCTTGCAGATCTGGGTTACGATGTGGTGAAATATAGGAACTTGACTGTAAAGGTAGTTTTAAAAATAATTCACTTCTACTTTGACATTTCCCCAAACTGAGAAAATGATACATTTATTTATACAAAGTTTTTGATTTTACAGGAGATTGAAGAAGCTCTACAAAAGTTCTCAAAACATCCACATCTTGTCCACACGGATAGTGTGTTTGTAGTTATCATGTCTCACGGATCTCTGCAAGGTGTCTGTGGCACTGACTGCAAACCTTTCGAAATTGAAAACATTTACAAGAGCCTAAACACACAGAATTGTCCTGCACTACATAACAAGCCCAAGGTGATCATCATCCAGGCTTGTAGAGGAGGTGATTCATTCATCCTAGAAGTTTCAAGCTGCATTTACAGTTTCATATAGAAGTGGCGTGAGCTTAAATGTCCTGTGAGCAAGTTTTTCGTGGATGCATTATTATGTTTGTTTCTCTGAATGGACGCTCACACTTTGTGTCTGACAGGCTTTTTAGGTATTTACAGTCTGAAGTTTCACTTCAATCAGAGCTCGTTTCACCACATCATAGTTCTTCACAGAAACAGCTCAAATGACTATCAAAGGCTTCGCACAGGAATTTTTATGCAACATATCAATGTAAAGCTGACATTCTCAGCTTAGTGCTCACATTTATTTTAAAGCTATGAATATCTTTTTGGGATAAGGCCGCCATTACAAAAAACATGCCAGTGTTCAAATACAAAAAGAGTATTTGCTGCAGGATCACTGCTGACCTGTAAGATGATCAAGCTAAATATTATTACGTATTTCTGGGTAACCCTGCATGGTTGTTGTAGGTCAGGCGGGTTCGGTGGTTTTACATGATGAAGTTTTAACCACTATTGGAAGAAACATCGAGACAGATGCTGTGGTACACAAAGAAAAGGACTTCATCTCTCTTCTGTCCTGCACCCCTAGTGAGTGTTCCAGTAACAAGTAACTCCAGCCTTCAGTAACGAGTCATTGATACTGACCAAATACCAGCAGCACAAATTGTCCGTTTCTTTTGGCTTGCAGATACGACTTCATACAGAGACGAGTCATACGGCTCTTATTTTATCCAATATATTGTTGAGATATTCAAAGAGTTTGCTGATGTGGATCACATTGAGGAACTGTTCAGAAAAGTGAGCTCAACAAGTGAATTCTTTTATTTCTTCATTTGAACTTCATAAATTGGATAGGCTAAAAGTTTGGATCTAGAAAAGACAACAGTCAGTGATGAAGCTGCCTTTCTTTCAATGCTACAGGTCATGCAGCGCTTCGAGGAATCGGAGTTTGGTGAAATTCAGATGCCAAGCAAAGACAGATGTACTCTGACCAAGAACTTCTACCTGCTTCCCTACTAAAAGAAGACAAGTCTCAGCAATGGTAAAAGATATTGCAGGTATACTTTTTATTGTTTGGTAAATGCTCTGTTTTTGTACTGTGTGTATAACAGAGCAGGTTTAGTGATGAATGAAAAGCTTCATATACTCTCTTCTTTTAATGCCTCACCAAGATAATGAGTGATATGTATAACTGAAATATTCTGAATATGGAAATCAAGTCTAAGAGAAAATTATGTTTTATTATGTATTTTATTAAAGCTTTTGTTTAAATAAAGAAACTTTGATCTTTTTTCTGGCAAGTGGGCAGAGGAGGTTTATGATTCCAGGTTGTTATTTTTTTCATTCTCGTACAGATAAAACTGGTATAAGTGCAACCTTATAATGTACAAGTCTCTCTGTTTAATCTTTCAGCATTCACCTGTGTTATGCCAACGGCGAAGCTTTGTTTGTAACTTTGTATTGTGTTTCATCTTCATGGATAGTAAATGATGTTATTAAATTGACTAACATTTGCAGATGTGTAAATATGAATGTCTACATCTGTTTGGCATGTGTAGTAAACATGTAATTCTTTATTTGCATTGAGAATATTTCTTCTTTGTATTTTTTGTAGCTAGGAAGGAAAAAGGCCTTCTACTTTACTTTCAGTTTCGTCATCATTCAATGCTGTCAGTCCCTACAGCACGTTTAGCTATTTGCCACTTCATGTAGAGATTCACAAGTAAGGGACAGAAAATGTTATATTTACTTAACACTCGATTATATCATGTGCAACCAGCAAGCAGAGCCTGCTGCGTAAAAAGAAATAAATTACACCTGATGGTGTTTTTCCTCACTTGTTTGAGCATCACATGCAGCATGCATCATTAGTTATACTCATATAGCTACACAGTCCTCAACACAGTTATTGATCCAAAGGGTAGATTCCTAGTTTTAAATTATCTACACTTAACACAAAGCTATGTATTGTCAGTATATATGGCCAGTACATGAGAAACGTTGGTCTTTACGATGCATGGCGCTCCCTTCACCCCAACAGTAAGGAATCAGCAGCTCACCTGTGAAAAAATTTACTTCCTAGGAAGTAATATAGTAATTAATAAAAGTGTTGTGGAAGGTCTTAAATAAAACTGCTACTATTAGTTAAATGTGTCTTTGTCAGGGAGACATTAACTTAGGAACACATACAGGAACCAGAAAGCAGAACTCTAATAAGAGCGAAGGATGCGACACTGAGGATGTGGACAAGTGGGTGAAGAATCTGTCTGACGGACAGCTCACCCAAACAGAGAAAAACATCCTTGCTAAAGGATTTAATTTTGCTGTCACACCAAGACAAATCCCGCCAGTGGAGCTGATCACAGCCACAGAAACAGCAATTCGAAACAATCTCAAACGCACCGATGTAGGTAGAAGTGAGTTTCTTGGACTCTGCTCTGTGGGGAACGAAACGTGTGGAGAGCCATACCTTCTATCCCAAAGCATATTCGGATGCTGGAATCGGTTTGCGATCTGCAATGCGCTTGTTGTGGTCCTTGGTGCGCAGCAGGGCAGCCTGGGTAGCCTGCCACACCCACCGACACCTGTGCAGGTGAGCTTGGACTGAGGGCATGCAATGCTCACCCTCAACTGTGGGAAACAAGGAAGGCTGAAATCCCAGGGAGACCCCAAAGGGGGATCGGCACGTGGCGGAGGCTGTCAGGCTGTTGTGAGCATGTTCTATCCACGGCAGTTCATCACTTTTTGATTGGAGGAAGCAACACAGCGCAGGGCAGCCTCCAGCTCCTGGTTTGCCCGCTCTGACTGGCCATTGCTCTGTGGATGATAGCCCGATTATTATCTCTAATAATCGGCTACGTACCACAGGCCTTCAAGCTGGCTGTAGTTAAACCTTTACTCAAAAAGCATCTCTAGACCCAGCAGTCTTAGCTAATTATAGGCCAATCTCCAACCTTCCTTTCATATCAAACATCCTTGAAAGAGTAGTTGTCAAACAGCTAACAGATCATCTGCAGAGGAATGGTTTATTTGAAGAGTTTCATCATCATCCAGGTGACTTCTTCAGTCTCAGCTGACTGCAGCTTTCCCCAAATCTTATAAACAGCACATTTGCATGATGACTGAAATCAGCCCACTGAAGGAAGAATGGATGGGAGGTCAGTTCCTTAATCTTAATTATGCAAATTCTCATGACCATTGAGAACTTGCATAATTATAATATTGGGTGGCTGTTACATGTACAAGATTCAAACTTGTAATTTGAACTAAATAATTTCATGTTTCTATGGTGAACATAATTAAATCATGGAGCATCTGCATGAAATTCAGCAACTTAATTCTTGTTCTTGTTGAGATGACAGATTTCCAGGCTGTGATATAAAATCTAGTTCCTGATGGCAGCGACTCAGTTTCCTGTTAAAATTACTGTAGTTATCAAGGGCATTCACAAATGGAAATATCACTTACATTGAAAGTGAAATTAATTAAATTAATTCACACAAATGTGATCACACATTAGTGGGTATCACACCAGCATCACAACAGCTCCACCTGCTCCACCTGCCTCCTCAGCATCTGTACACCTGAAGAGAAAAGAAAGGCTCCAACAGCTCAAATCTACAAAGGATTCATGAAGTTTCATCCAACAATAACATGTTTGCCTTCCACAGTGTGCTGTTAGACACCACTGTACCTCTGCCATTTCAAAAAGAGCAGCTTGGGAACATTTTGGCTCCAAACACTTTGTGTTTAAGTTCTTTGTTTTCTTTGTGAAGCCGACAACATCTGGAGCTTTGTGACTCATAGAAACATCATTTTGTTCTTTAGATGACAGCAGATTGGGACTGAATAATCAATCACTATCAAACCAATAAAGACAAACATGCTGATTTTACAGGAACTTTGTTGGAGAAGCTGCAAAGACATGAAACTGGTGGAGATCCCAAACCAGTTGATAGTGCTGGTTATTCCAAATAAAGCTGTTTCCCTTTGAGATGAAATGACTTTGTGTCCTGATATATAATAAAGATGTTGTTGTTTTTGAGCCCCTGTATTAAAAGTAGTTTAAAGTCAGCTTGAGTTTGATGTCTTTATGTCAAAGCTGCTCATGATGTTGAGCTGCTGATGGAATAAAAACAATATAAAAGCATGTAGTCCAGACTTAAATGTAGCCTGTTGTTAGCTGAGGTCCACACACAGTGTTTGACAGTGTAAAGTGTGTGAAAGGGCTGCTGGTGGAGCTCACTAGGATGAGCAGGTGACCACGAGGTGGAGAGCAGCTGGCCTGGCTTTGACCCGGGCCACGCCCCCTTTTTCTCTGCTTTGCTGTCACTTATCTTCACTGCTCTGTCCAATAAAGCTGAAAAAGGCCCCGAATCAAAGAAATCTGCTGCAGCCTCTGAAATGTCTTCTGTTTCCTTCCCGACGGCTTTTTCACCGTCAGCCCATCAGACAGTCCAGCAGCATTTATGATGATGTCATGATGTTGAAGAGGCTGCTACGGTGGCCTCCCATGACCCCCAGCCTCATCACAGCTGAGATGCAGACATTTGAAAACATTCAGCAGACAACTGAATAACAGTCCAACACAACAGTCTGTGTGCAGACACACACTGACCTTTCATATAGTCAAACACAGCTGGTTGAGTCATTTCTCTGTGAGTCTAAAGTGAATCTAGTATTTGAAAGTCCACTTCCTGTATTTGTTGTTGAAGACTTCTTCAGCTTGTGTATAAATGCATTTAAAATTGAGGGTAGGGCACCAGCGCCAGAGGTGGGTTGAAGTACACCGACCATCCTCTGGATGCTGTAAAACGTGCCCACCCCCAAGGCCCTATATGTATGTGTTATGGAAGAGTGTGAGTAATGTGGATGTCTAGGTTGCAGAATAAAATTGAGGCACAGGCGGCCAGAAGAGGACAGAGGGGGAGTGTCTCCCCTGCACCCTGGTGACATACTTGCACCCCAAGCCCTGCGTGTGTGAGTGGGTGTGGTAGAGCGGGAATAGGGAGGCAGCTGAGGATGGGGAGGGAAGAAAGGGAGGGGCAAGCGGCCCCTCCCTGGGGCCAGCTCCCCCGCTGACCCCAGTAGGCACCCCCACACTCTGGAACCCACCAGGGCAAGGGGGCCCAGGCCCATCCGGACCGGGGCCCGCAGCAGCAGCACCGCCCAGCCCCACAGAGTCCGGGGCAGCCCACCCGACTCCATCCCAGAGAAAACTGCACCCACCCCATCATCCAATCATCTCCCAGACTACACAAGACAATAGACACCCAGGTTGAGTTCATTCTCCACCTCTCCTATATCTCTTCCCCCACCTGCAGAGTGAGCTCCTGTAATGAGGAGACCACCTGCAAAGATATAACAACCTCCCCACCAGTTAGAGAGCCCCCTAGTTGGGCCGATGCACCAGAGGTCCCCTGCACGGGGGCTGAGCCCCCCGGCACCAACCCGCCCACTGCTCCGGCAACACAACAGCCAGGACCCAAGCCCCCAAGGCCCAGACAGCACCCCAGACCGGGGGGCGGAGCACCCCCAGACCCCCAAGCCTCCACGCCCGTCCCGGACCATCCCAGGGAGCCAGGCTACCAGGCCAGTAACCACTAGGTGATGAAGCCGATCAAAGGAGCCCAAAGGGATTGATCAAATGTGATGGCAGAGGTTGTATCAAGACTAATGTGATCTATTAGATGGTTTCTATATTGGTTAGAATTAAGATTATTTTTATTTTTCCAGTTAATGAGGACCATTTTCTTGGCAATGCATAGGGCCGTAAAAACAACGTGGGCTGTGTTTATTTCTGCAGTGACCTCATCCAAGTTGCCCAGCAAGCATACTAAAGGGGAGGCTGGAATGTTACATTTCAGACACTTTGATAAGTCTTCACATATCTCACGCCAGAATTTCTGAACTGGTGGACAGAACCAAAGAGCGTGGATGTAATTGTCCGGTGTATTTGCTGTGCAGTGTGAGCAGTTGTTGGAAGGCGTATAGCCCATCTTGAACATCCTATGACCAGTATAGTGCACTCTGTGTAATATTTTGTATTGTATTAATTGCAAACTGGGATTTCTGATGCATTGAAAGGTTTTTAAGCATATCTGAGACCAAAGGATTGTGTCTAAGTTGATTGATAAATCTGCTTCCCATTTTGCAATAGGAAGGGACATTGATTCATCTATTTTAGTGTTCTGTATATTTTAGACAATAATTTTGGGGGTTTTAGATTAGAAAATTGAACGACACTTGGTGGTGTTTGTAATTCAGCTTCACTGGGATTAAATTTCTTTTTTACTATGGATTTAATTTGTTGGTATTCCAAAAATTGTTTCTTGTTGATCCCATATTGTGTAACTAGTCTGTCAAACGAAATAAAGTCTGTTCCTTCCCACATTGGTTCCAAGTATTTAATTCCTTTGCAACTCCAATCTGGAAAGTTTATCATATTATTGTTTTGTGATATGTCCGGATTGTTCCAGATAGGTGTACGTTTGCATGGGATTAATGAAGACGCTGTCATTTTTAGAAACTCCCACCATGCTGTCAGAGAAGAGCTGATATTGATGCTTTTAAAGCATTCATGTCGTTGG